ATATTCTAGAGAGATAAAAATGACCATGTTTCCAGAACAATGGCAGAGAGGAATCTCTGAGAAGGGCAGGCAATAGAATGGAGGGGAAAATTAGGAATCAATGGCAGGAAAACATCAATGCAGAGACAAGCATGATGGCCATAACCATTAATGTAGATGGCCTCAGTTCACCAAAAAAAAGAAACACATGTAAAGTAAGTCAAGAAACAAGATCCATCAATATGCAGTACACAAGGAACAGTTATCTCAAAAGGAAATTCATAGACTGAAAGTCAAAGGGAAAAAACAATGCTCCACGTGACAGGGAACCAGAAAAAAGCAGGGATAATTTGCCCATCAACCACAGAATGGATAAGAAAGATATAGCATTTTTAGACAATGGAAAACTACTCAGCTATACAGAAGGATAATCACTAGACTCTTGTAAGTAAATGAGTGCAACTTCAAAGCATGCTCATGGGTGAAATGGTTTGAACTCACATGGGTGAACATTGTGTTTGTTGTCTCTCTAGTATGAAAGACTGAAGGAGTTAGTGGGGTCCAAATTGTACAATAGGTATTGCAAACGTGAAAGGGGAGGAGAGGTCTAACAGGGGAAGGTGGCAGCCATCATTAATTTCCTATTACCTTGTTTTGAAGCTCTGTATCATTTTTATTGTTCTGTTTTGTTTCATTTTATTCCATTTTGTTTGGTTTGGTTTGGTTTTATTATATCTGATAGTATAGGCAGCTACTTTGAAGGTAACAAGAGGCACTTTGGTAGCCATTGTTGATTTCCTATTACCTTGTTTTGAATCACATTCACTGTTTTGTTTTTATTGGCTCTAAAAAAAAAGGTTTTGTTCATTTTCGTCAGTGAAAGAGACGTTCAGATGCCGTAAGTGGTCTAAAAAAGAATCTAATTACAGATATATTTATAGATTAGAAATATTTAGATTAATGTGCAAACGGAGGCCAGGCTATCAGACAGCTGATGACCAAAGTGAATTAGAGCCCAGGGACACTTTCTCCAGTGTAGTCAATGTGTGGTTTTTTCCAACAACACACAAAGTTTTCTCCAGACACCTTTCTTGACTCCACATCTCCAACTCCTACCTCCTCCCAAAATTTCTTAAAAATAGCTTTTCTTGCTCCTCTGTCTCCCCTCTTCCCTGTTACGACACTTCTCAGCCTGCCACACAACATCTTCAACCTCAACTCTTCAGGGCCTTCCATGACTCCCTTGTTAAACCCATTTCTTGGTCATTAAGTAACCTAATCTCTTTGTCACATCTTCCCATCACCCTGAATTCTTTGTGCTGGAATTATCCAGATTTTATTCCTGTTTCTCCAATAGGTCTTAGTTTACTTTGGGAAACTTCTTCTGCTGCTCTCTTCTTAAAGGTTAGCCATTCCTGAGACCTCCCAGCCAGGGAGTCTGTCCATTCCAGTGGGTGGTTCCACTGACTCTGGTTTTATTTATCACCCCTGTTCACACAGTGTCTATTTCTCCACATCTCTTTCCAGAATTTCATATCTATCCAAACCTGACATACACAGTATCATCTCTGAGAAGTCTCACTAGTGCCCTAACATGTCCAACCCACATTCTTCTTCCTCCAAACAGTCTTCTTTTTTAAGAAAATTAAGTGTATTGGTACAGTTTAAATATTCATAATGATCACGTTCATCATAGGGAATTTGTACCTATATGTGATATATCTTAGTTCCTTTTTGTCCCATTCTCCTCCCCTCTGTCCCACTCCTCCTCTCATCCTTATTTATTAAACTTTGTTTCCATTTTATCCTGTATTTCTCTTTTTTTTCTTTTCCCTTCATTCTCCTTTCCAGATTTAGCTCAGTGGCATACACGTGGCAAGTGACAGGTTGTAAGTTCGATCCCCCGCACCAAAAAAAAAAAACAACAATTACTTTCTATTTCACTATACAAATTACACATTTTAGTTCTTATTTTTACTTTCATTTGCTCACACCAGAGAGTATGACCTCAAGATCCATTCATTTAGCTGCTGTAAATGTCTCAAGTTCATCCTTCCTTGTGGCTGAACACATGCACATATCTTTTTGATCCATTCATCAGTTCATGGCCATTTGGGCTATTTCCAAGATTTAGCTATTACAAACTGTGCTGCTATAAACATGGGTGCACATTTATCACTGTGGTATGATGTTGTTAAAGAGACCAAGAATGGGAATAGCTGGATCAAATGAAACCTCTAGTCTTAATTTTTTGAGGAATCTCCTTACTGATTTCCACAGTGGCTGCACCAGGCTACACTCCCACCAACAATGGAGAAATGTTCCCTTTTACTCCAGCATTTGTCATTGACTGATCTGTTGGTAATAGAGGTTTCTTCTTCTGTGCTCCTAAGATGAGGGAACAGAGTCACATTCCACCTCTACTCTGTCCAGAACCCAGCTGTCATTCTTAATGTCCCTTTTCCCATATGCCCCAAAATCTGCCCCATGAGAATTCCTAGAGGTGATACCCCTAAAGATCTCTTGGATGTGTCCACCTGTTCCGGTGTCCATTGCTATCTCCACAGCCACCCTATTTCCTCTGTATTACTGTGCCTGTACCCTCAGGTTTGCTCTGCTTCATAGTTTCCAAAAAATACAGCATGTCTCCCACACTCTAGGTACAATGATCTGAGAAACAACTACTCCCTTCAATAACCCTTACCCTTATTAAAATATAGTCCAAAAAACTCAACAAGTTTCTGGAGGGTCCTGTTGCCTTGTTGCCTATGATGGCAGCTGCTGTAGCCCCTGAAAGATAAACATAGCGACTAGAGTCCCCTCACGGGAGGATGCAGGGTGATGCTCAGAGACAGCAATGAGCCGTTATCAGCATGTGTGTATCCCACAAAGATCATAAACTATGTACAACAAGTCAAAGAGTTTGGGTCTGTAAGATTTTTAAAATACATCCATGCTAATAAATTTTTTTACGAATTAATCAGCAACAACTTGAGACAATTCAGTGAGAGAAAGGATCCACAATTGTAAAGAGAAATATAAAATGGTTAGGAATATACTTTAAAGGAATGTGAGAAAGATTTAAAATTATACAAAATTGAGCTGAGACAAAGAAAGATTTGAAACTCATCTTCAAAGATGGCAAAGACATTATAACATTCAGCTTCCTCTCTCAAAGACCATCATGAAAGAAGAGGACAAAGATGAACATAGAGAAAAGAATCTGACATTGAATGGGCTAGTCCTACGTCACAAAATATAAAGTCTGTCTGCCAAACTGTAGAACTTGGACAAGCCCTGGAAGGTGTGTGAGCCAATTTCCAGATTAAAATCTGAATTTCATGAACTATTTGGAACAGATACATTCACTGTATACCTGATAGTCACGCTTCTTTGATGTCCTATTGTCTTCTCATTTCATTTTGAAATCTGGCAACTTCAGCTGTGACTCAATCCACATCTTCTCAAAACTAAGTGGGGCAAAAAAATCTTTAAAAATATAGAAAAATGCAAATCAAAACCACCATTTAAAAAACCAGCATAAATCCAGGCACTGATGGTGCACACCTATAATCCCAGCACTCGGGAGGCTAAGGTGGGAGGATCACTGAGAGTTCAAGGTCAGCCTGGGCTACATACAGAGTTCAAGGTCAGGCTGAACTGCACAGTGAAAACTTGTTTCAAAAACAAAACAAAACAAAGAAAAAAAACCACCATGAGATATTCACTCATACATGTTAGAATGAGTATTACAAAAAAATAGGAAGAGAAGAGACAACAAATGTTGGTGAGGATGTAGAGGAAAGGAACCCTTGCACACTGTTGACGGAAATGTAAATTAATACACACAGTCACTATGAGAAACAAGAGGCAGTTTCCCTGAGGATTAAAAACAGTGTTACAGTATGATCTAGGAATCCCATGATCAATCCACATCCACAGGAAATGAAATTCAAATACTTAGACCTGCTACCACTGAACCATGTTTCCAGCTCTGACATCAGCGTCTAGAAGAGTGCCACACTGTTCACAACAGCAAGATATGAACCAACCTAAGCATCCACCATGGATGAGTGGAGGACAGAAATTGTGGTAATTGTAATTAATGAAATAGTGTTTGCCTTTAAAATTTTGTCATTGTCACATGTATGAAGCTGGACAACATCACAAGTGAAATAATCCAATTTCAGAAAGACAAGCGCTACATTATAACATATATGTGGGATCATCTTAGAAAGCTGAATTCACAGAAGCAGAGAATAGAGTGGTAGTTAGCGGGGGATGAGGGTGGGGAAAATGGGCAGGTGCTGTCAAAAGACAAAATATTTCAGTTACAGGATGAAGGAGTGCGGCACAAATGGTGGTGGATGTTAATTCATTTGATTGTGGCCATCACTGGAAAATATGTACATAAAGCAAACAACAAACTCTCTACAGTACTGTACATCACGGACCACCAATGACTGATTAAGAATTATTTAGAGCCCTGATCTCAAGTGAAGTTTAAGGTCATGCAGAGAGCAGAAATCACCTAGAGACTCATTTTAATCCTGAGGGATGGCAGAGGAGCTACAGGCAGGGAGACCAGATGTGCCAAGTGTTGCATTTATTTTTGGATTTTAATAAGTGAAATACAAACAATACACATGAGTGTAGACTGGAAAATGTGTTCTGTTTTCCACCTTGATTTTCTAGAGACCCTGTTTCCCTCCTACGTAAGTGTATACAGACATGTGTGGACCCGTTGGAGAAATTCCATGCATCTGAAGTATGTGTGTCCCATCTGGCCAGGAACCACAGATGCTGCATCTGGGGGATGAGCACCAACAAGTAGCCCACCTTGATCTTAAACTCAACCCCAATAAAAAATTGGAGGGACAAAGTTTAACAAAAGGGAAAAACTTTATTTATAAAGAGGAAAAGGAAGGAAGATAGATAGGTAGATAAGATAGAACCAGGGTAGGGGGGTCCAGAAAAATAGAGGACCTGTGGGCCCTTTGTTCCCAGCTTGTCCTCTCCATCTAGATACCCCAAATGCACAGTTCCTGGACAGATTCTGTCTCCATTGTCTAATTAGTCCACACTCCATAAAATCCATGGCTCATTTCTCATTTATCCAAAAATGAGAGCAGCAGTCTCACTCTCAAATAACAAAGAAAGCTTGGAGATGTTAACAAGAAGGATGATGCGAGGAATAGAGAGGATGTGGTGCCCAACCTCGTCTTCAGCCATACATGTCCAAGAGACATGGGATGGGGCTGTTTCCACGCTCCCTTCCCTGCAAGAAAACAATGCGGCTGGGTGGGCAGCCCTGGGAGCTTTGCCTCTGCTCACATCTTGCCCCTTTCTAGTTTGGTTCAGTCATTTTCTTCAAAGGGTCAAGAATGTTGAAATTATTGGCTGGACCCCTAAACCCCACGAAATGCAAAAGAAATCCATTAATGTCGAGAGTGGCAAACAGATTGAGACTACATGTACCCCTCAACAGAACTGAGGGACAAGTGGAAGTTTGCAGTTTCTTCTTTCATGAGACCTTTGAAGGAAAGAAAGCCCCCTCCCGCTGCAGGTCTATGAAGTGACAGGGTCCAGGAGTCCCAGAGCCCCAGGTGTCATGGTTGCAAGAGTGGAAATCAAGGAGCTGTTCCACACTGACCTAGCACCGTAGCAATGTCCTGACAGAAATGTTCTTTTTCTTCTACTGGAGGGCCTTTCTCTCTTGGACAGGCAGTGATCAGGATCAGTAGTACAGGTTCTCATTGGTCTGACTCTGCATCCCCCGCAGGCTCTCTCTGAGGCCTGTTCACCCACAGGACAGCACCAAGCATGCTCAGTAGAAGGGGAAACTTCAAGAAGACCAGGAGCAGGAAGCAGGTGTTGCTCAGCAGGGATCTGTGGGGGATGCACAGACAGGAAAGAGTTACTTACTTCCCAGGGCAGAAATCTCAGGTCTTTCAGCCCTTCCTTTGTCCAGATTACGGCTTCCCACAGCCCAGTGAAGGCAAGCCTGGGGCCCAGCCTGGACTGCCCGCTTAGAGGGCCCAGTCATCCTGCCCACTGGCTAGGCTTTAGGTGTTCCAAACCACAATAGAGTTGGCCTTCCAGTCACCTCTCTTGCCTATCAAGCACCATCTCATCCTCCGTGTTCAGTGGTCTCTACATTTTCCCTTCATCTAATCTTCATTTTAGATAGATCAACAACTTCTCATTTTTTTCCTTACCTTCTTATATACATCAAGATAACCACCCTGCCCGCCTCACTACCTGTGACACATCTGTGAAGGCTTTTGAGACACCACATCTAGAAAGAGTTTACTTCTGTTCCTTCCACCGTCCCCTGGACTGATTGCTGGCCCCGCAGTCCTTTGCACTCCGTGTCATTCCCCATGGATCCAGAAAGCCATGTACCTACTGTCCCTGGGTCCCCCATCTCCTCACTATACTGGGCACCTCTTCCTGTTCTCTGACCTTCCTGTGGCCAATCCTTGTCTCTCTCAACCCAACAGGAAGCCACCTTTTGCCCATGGATAAATTTGAAAACTTCAAAATATATCCAACTCCAGAACACTGAGCGAGCCACAGAACGCTGGATGCATCCTTTGAAATGTTTCTACCTGTCCTTGAGGCACTGCACTCTTTTTCACACACTGTACTCTCTGAAGTCTCACCTTCTCCTTCTCAACGACTGAAATCCCATCTGTTTGCACAAATACGCTTCCGAAAAAGTGAGGAAAAAAATTTTTTTAAGTTGTGAGACTAAAAGAAAAAGAGATCATCAAAGAAAGGAGCCCTCATGCCATCCCCCAAGAGCTAAACTCTTCAGACACATCTACCTAACTCAAATCGACAGGAAGAGAACCAGACAGGACCCAAGGGACTGTTCTGACAAGAATGGAGATTTGAACCTCTGCCTTTGCCTTAGGGGTCACATAGAGGTCTGTAATTCACCTCTGGCCTTGACCTGGGCTTGACCATAGCAGGCTAGCATGGAATTAAGCCAGGCTAGCTGGGGGGTACTGATGTTTGGGAATTTCCTTACTTTATTTTTATTTTTATTTTTTTAATTTTATTTAAGGAGAAAAAGAGAAAAAAGCAGAAAAAGGGTACAAGTTATACAGAATTTCAGAAAAAAAAACATTAGGAAATCACTAGTTAATGGATTACATATTGTCATCTTAGAAATATTTGTTCAAGTTACAAAATTAAAGCTTATAAAATGGACATTCAAACAGTGAGCTGCAAACAGTTCTGTTCAATGATCCAACAAAACTCAGTAATATCATTGTCCATCTTATACACTTAAATATACATGCAGTTATATCGTTTAGAGCACTTTCTTTTCCTCTCTTTTGTACAATGACTATTACACATTTTGGGTTTTATTGCTCCCACTGTTCTTATTACTTTTTTTAGAAGAGAGTAAACCCAAATGTGACATAACAGAACAGAGTTGGTCAAAACAAAAGGGTGGACATAATAGATAATGTAAAAGCATAATACAAGGTGATCAACATTGGTTACCATAATGCCTCCTGCTATCTAATAGAATTGCCTATATCATCAGTTATAATAAAATTGAACAAAACGGTAAAGAACGAAACCAACAAAACCAAAACATTGGAGACATTACAGGTCTTCAAAGGTAGATAATAGTCAACCAGAATGGGCATTATAATGAATCCCACTATCTTCACAGCTGTTGCCTAAACTTTCGAACCTGGTACTATCAAGCAAAACAGAAAAGAGGAACATCCGTCAAAACAAGATGGTGAGAGCAATACAGCAATTCAAATAAAGTTAATAGAAAATCAAAGTGGGTTACTATAATATATCTTGCTATATTTTAAATTTATTTTTCCCTTAATTAAAAGGATAAAAATAAAAAAGTAAATAATAAAATGGAGATTGAGATAAAAGAGGGCATAACAACAAAACAGTGCAGATCAAATCATAACCATTTAAGTGAAATAGTGTTTCACCACAAGATAATCCTGACATAAAAGTAGTTACCATATTGTCTCCTTCCTTGAAATCTTTCAGTACAACTTTGTATACTGTAGCATCAAATATATCAAAACAATGTAAAACCATTTAAGAGAATGACAGTATTACAGGGTATTTAGAATCAACTAACAGAAAATGAACAATCGTTTCTGTATAATCTCCTTGTCTATAAAAGTTTTTGTTTATACTATCACATATAATAAAATCCAATAAGATACAACATGTTAAGACCCATGGAGACAGAAGAACAAAAGCTTGATGAGACTTCAAAACAAGATGATACTAAATCAGCATTACCTATTATGACGTCGTTTTCTCCAAAACAGCTGTTCCTATCATCCAATCTTCTCTGCCTCATTTCTGTTGAACTATTTTTCTGTCATTAGTTGTCAGTTTGTCTTCTTCATTTTGTTTTCTGCTCCATTCATTGCGGCCTCTCTGCCACTATTTCTGGATTCTTCGTATTTTTCTTTTTTAGAATATCCTGCAGTATTCTCTGTAGAGTCGAATTGGTGGTTGCATATTCCCCTAGTTCCTCTTTATCCTGGAAGCACCTTGTTTTTCCATCAATTTCCAGGGATAGTTGTGTAGGATACATCAATCTTGGCTGGAGGTTATTATTTTTCAAAGCTTGAATTATTTCCCCCCATGCTCTTCGTGATTTGATGGTTTGTGCCGAGAAGTCTGCTGTAATTCTGATGGGTGTTCCCTTGTAAGTGATCTGTTTCTTGTCTCTGATGGCTTTTAATATTCTGTTCTTATATTGGGTTTCTGGTATTTTGATTATTATATGCCTGGGTGTAGCTCTGTTTGGGTTGTAGGTGGCTGGGGTCCTGTATGTTTCATACACCTGAGTATCTTTACCTTTTGCTAAATTAGGAAAATTCTCCTGGATTATTTCTGTGAGTAGCTTTTGTAGTTCATTTGTTTGTGTCCCTACTTCTTCTATTATGTTCTTAATTCTTAAGTTATAGATCTTCTTATCATCTTCTAGTCTTTGTATTATTGCTGTTTGTTTCTTTGTTATTTTTAAGAAGTGTTTCATTTCATGCTCCCATATTACAAATCTGCCCTCCAGTTCAGATAATCTGTCCTTAGTTTCTTTCAAGCTGTTATGCCAGTTTTCGATAGTTTTTAGTTTCCTGGTAATCTCTTTGAACCTGCTTCACGTATTCTATGCTTTCTCTATTTTCTCCATCAAACAATTCTCCCCTTTTTTTCTGTTCTTCCATTCCACCATCTGTTTTTTCTTGGGTGGTGCTTAGCATTTCTCTAACTATTCTGCTTATGTCTAGCTTCAGGTCATTAATAACTTCATTCCTGAACTCGTCTATGAGGCTCTGGAGATAGTGCTTTATATCTATTGGTGCGGTGTCTGCTATTGCCTGTTTCTCAGGATTGGGGGCCAACAGGATTTCTTGTTGCTCCCTCTTCCCATATTCTTTGTTCCTTATATATGCAAGCATACATAGGAGGCCCAGCTTCCTTCCCTGTCAGCCACAGTCTGATTGAATTGCACCGGCTAGGTGTTCCTGCCCACCGCAGCACACCAGGGAGTTACAGACCGGGTGGCCTATGCGGGGCCCGCCCCTCCAGGTCAACCTATCCAAGGCTTCACTGCTAGGGTGCACCTTCAGGCACTGGGACCTGGGTTGTACTAGCCTACTGGGTCTCAGCCAGCAGCATCACATAGGCCAGGCACTGCTCACCAATCCCACTTGAGAGGGGGATATGTGACTGAAGTCACTACAGCTCCCTGTTCCAGCAAGTCTGCCTGGTCCCAGAATGTCCTCTGTTGGCAACTCCTAGATTGTGGAAGAGTCCCAGTTTCTCTCACTCACCGCAGGTCTATGTATGGCTCCCCACCCGTCCAGTTCTCAACTCCATTCACCGATTCCCGTTCTCAGAGCTTTCGCGCATCTCTCTCCCTGCCGAGCCGATTCAGGCGGGTGGCAGGAAACCCAAATCACAGCTTCCAATGGTGTGGGCTCCAGCTTCCACACTGAGGCTTTGTCTGTTCCTGTTATAGCACCAGGATTGCATTCCCAGTTGGTTTCTCTCAGCCCAGTTCATTCTTGGGTCAGCAGGGCATATCTGTGCTTGCTTAGGATACTTCACTCCGCACCATTCCTGGATTCTAAGCTGGGTCTTTTAGAGAACCTCCATAGCTGCTGATATCTGTCTGCCATGTTCTCTAGATTCAATTGAATTTCCTTTCTTTCAAGAGTGACAAGCATCAGATTGACATGCATCAGATTGGTGTGCTGTGTATCTCTAGCATGTCAGGAGATGAAATAGCTAATTCTGTTTCTTGTCATTTACCACACTCCCACTTTGGCACTTGGGGACAAGTGGCTGGAATTCTAAGATTTGTTTTTGGGCAGGATCTGGGGCCCATGGAAGAGGATCATCTCCTAATCCATTAAACCCAATCTGTGACACTCCCTTGCCCCTGGGAGTTGTGTAGTAGATGGACCAAAGGCCCACATCCATGCTTTCCTTCTGTCAGTCAGATGACGATTTTGTCTTGGTGCAGCAGAAGCTTAGCTGGGAATTCCTGTACTCACAGGACAACTGAGAGTGAGGAAGACCACCTATCTTTTTAGTGACTCAGTTGACAAGAGGCTACATCAGAGAAGTTGTATGGGTGAGGGTCCAGATGGAATATGCCCACAGGACAGTGTTACTAGGGTTAGCAAATAGAAATAAAGAATTCTCAGGTAAATCTGATATTCATAAAAATATTATATACTTTTTTTAAAGTACAAGCATGTCTCAAAAAATAATTGGGCTACACTTATGCTACAACATTATTTGCTGTTTTTCTGAAATCTAGGATTCTTGAGAATCCTGCACTGTGTCTGACAGCCCTCCCAAAGAAGATGCTATGGGGCCATAGCAGCGGGAAGGTGCTGCAGGGCCCGCTTAGCTTACCGAGTGGCGGGGCTGGTGGTAGTCGTTGGTTGGTATCTGACAGTCTTGGTGGTTGATGGTGTCAAAGTTGGACTTGGTCTTACTGAGGATAAACTTTCTTTGGGTAAAGCTGCAAAACAGAATACATGTCACTTTCTACAAGGACCGTCCAGCTCTGGGTGAGGCCCAGGGGTGCACCATCTAGGAATTAAGGAGCTTCTCTTTTGGTGCCTAAGACCAGTAGTAACTGTCTAAAACATATCATTGATTATTTTGAAAAGGAAAACTATTCAACAGTGTGAGAAGTTCTGAGGGGCCAACCAAGGAGACAATTTACAATAATTTGTTAGCTCTGCTTGGCATAGTCAACATACTCCATGGCATTTCAGTCTTTAGACCAGGATACCTCCTTTCTAAGTCTTTTCCATGACTGAAACTCACTCCCTGCCACCTTGTGAAGTGAGCTGGCCACCCCTCCATGAACCTCCTCTGGGAAGCCTAGGCTGGATGCCAGGATGGCTGGAACAAGAGAAACCTTCTTTTTTTAAAAAAAAAATCATTTCCTGTCTTCCAAAACTTCATAGTCACAATTTCCACTCCCAGTGGAGTTTTGTAAATCCTGGTGCTGTCTCATCTGCCTGTGGTTTATTTCAAGACAGAAACTTGCTAAATGTTTGAGTTGCCCAGGCTAGAATCAAATTTATGAACCCACTGCCTCAACCTCCCAAACTTATGTACCATCACATTCAGCTAATGACTTGTCTTGTTTCACTCTACATTTTATTTTGGACAGTTTTTATTGAAATTCATTACAATTCACTAATATCATTGTCTTGGTTACTTTTCTCTTGTTGCTGAGACAAAATACCTGATGTGCGAAGTTAAGGAAGGAAAGATTTATTTAGCTCACAGTTTACAGAAGTTTCAGCCCATAATCTGCTGGCTCCAAGGCAGGGTGACACATGGCAGAGCGGCAAGTTTATGGCAGCAGAAGAGAGCCAAAACAACAAAAGCAAAGAAAGGAAAGAACAGCCAGTCTTCTGATCTCTTTTGGTCATTCTCTGTCCAACCTAAGGTAGTTCTTTTATGCACAAGAAGTAATCAGTTCTCTCTTGGTTAACCACAGGGGCCAGCCTATGGATTCTCACTCTCTACAAATCTCTCTGGTACTCTGTCTCGCAAATTCAAACTAGCTTACCTCCCCAGGTTCTAAGCAATATCTCCTCAACTGAAGAAGTCAGTAGGGTCTACATGGGTTCCTCCTTTCTGGGGTTCAACTGAGAAAATCTCTCAAGAAAGTAATTGTTTTTTGTTGCCTGGTATACAATGTGCTTAAAATCTTAGTTTCATGTATTTTCTCTATTTTATTTGTTGTTATTTAAGTCAGAAGAGAAATCTGATCCCTATTACTATACGTTGCCCAGAATCAGGTTCCATAATTTCCTTTACTTTGCATAAAAGTACTTTATCCCTACACACATGGAAATATTCCAAATACAGCTCTGTGTGGGGGAGAGTGTGTTTGTGGGTGTTGTGGTAAGAAGAGGGAGCAGACATCCTCCACCTTCATCTCCCACCTCTCAGAAGGACTTGGATCTCAGAGGGAAACCTTAAGGGCATGCGCTCCTGCCTGGCCTGTGCTTACATCCATCTTTCCAGTAACCCTCAGAGACAGTCAGATGTACTCTTCTCTTTTTCTAGTAAAACTTTCACAATAATGGGTTCAAAGTCTATCACCCTTCAGCCCTAGCCAGGATCTCCTGGAATTCCTTAGCTACCTCATGTTAGAAAAACACAAGATGATCTAGACTTTGGTTTTCTGAGATCTGTGCCTCTTCCTACAACTCATCAGTTAAAGAGTTAAGACTTCCAGAAAGGTGGCATAGTGGTGAGTAGCAGAGAAAGTCTCTCCATGATTTGGTGCCCAACCATTGTAATACAGCAACATGAGGCAGAGAAAAAGGAGGGAAGTGGGTCCAGTGGATCTGAAGTGAGATGTGAGATGTGAGAGACATAATCCAGGAATCCATCAAAAATAAGAAACCAGGACCACCACCACAAACCTGCAGAGAATTCACCCCTCTGTGAACCAGCCCTGAAAGCCTGGAGAAGAATCCATTCCCCACAAACAGGTCAAGGAGACATAGACATAGAAGAAATCAGAAGGCACACACCTGAAATTTCTGAAATGATAGTAATTGAAGTAAAGAAACAACTTAGTGCTTATATTGTTTGATTAACTTTGCATACCTAATCTAATAGTTTGAGCAACTATTTGGAGGATAATAATGTGTAGTATAACATGCCAAAGATTAAAACTGGGCCCCTATCTTTCACCATATACTAAGCTAAAATCAGAATGGACCAAAAATCTTAATATTAAAACAGAAACATTAAATCTGCTGCAAGACAGAGTAGGTAAAACTCTTGAGGACACTGTAGTCAAAAACTATGAATAAAACTCTGATTACACAGAAACTATCACAACGAATCAATACCTGGGATCTCATCCTACTGAAAAGCTTTTGTACAGCAAGAGAAACCACAACAGAGTGAAGAGTCAAACCACAACATGGGAGAAAATGTTTGCCAGCTGTACCTCAGACAAACAATTTCTATCAAGAACTCATAAAGAATTTTTTTAAAAATCAGTCCTCCCAGATTAAAGACCCAATGCAAAAATGGCATCTGAGATGAGTACACACTTCTCAGGTGAAGAAATATGAACAGAAAATAAATATGTGAAGAAATATTCAACATCACTGGTCATTTAGTATAACTAATTAAAACAATCCTGAGATTCTACCTCACCCCAGAAAGAATGGCTACTATTAAGAAATCAAGCAATAACAAATGCTGGAGGGGCTGTGGGGGAAAAGAACCCTTCTCTACTGTTTGTGGGAGGGAAAACTGGTGCAAACATTGTGGAAATCAGTATGGAAATTCCTCAAAAAAACTAGAATTAGAGGTCCCATTCGACCCAGCTATTCCTCTTCTGGATACCTTTCCAAAAGAATTAAAACCATCATACAACAGCAATATATGTGCACCCACATTATAGTAGCACAATTTGTAATATCCAGATCTTGGAAATAACTCAAAGGCCTTTCAGCTGAAGGATGGATAGAAATTGTGGCATTTTTAATAAAATGGAGTGCTACTCAGTCATAAATAAGGATAAACTGGAGACATAGGTAAATGGGTGCAACTTGAGACTGTACTCATTAGTGAAATAAATAAGACACACATGTGTAAACATCATATAGTCTCATTAGTGTGAGAAGCTGAAAGAAACAGCATATATATTATATAAAATAAGATAGTTTTACTATGATTTCCTGAGTTTGCTGAAGAAAAAGATTTGTGCTAGCATTGTTCAAACAATTGAATGCAGATGTCTTGCACTCTGGGGGAATGATTTGGGGATGGCAATGCACAGTGTATGTACATTGTTGCCCCCTGGTTGATGTCCTTTGAAATTTTGTTGTAGATTTTTTTTCTTTTTTTTTTCTTTTTCTCCTTGAAATAAAATGAAATCGGAAAAAGAAAAAACAATGTACAGTATAATAACTATTGTTGATTTTTACTGTCTTGTTTTTGGAGACCAAGTTCATCCTTATTGTATTATTTTGCTTTATTTTATTGTTTTGTTTTATTCCCTTTAAAAATTTAAATAAGTAAAATAAAATATGATTTAATTTTTATACTTGAGATATGTCTTAGTGAAGAGTGCTTGTCTTGTATTACAAGGCCCTGGGTTCAATCCCCAATATCACAATAAAACAAAATAAAATACAAAGAAATAAAAAGAAAGGTTAGGCTTCTTTGTGGATACCAAAATCAATTATATAAACTCCAAAGACCAAAATGGAGGCTCCACTGTAGTGTGGCTGTAAGGCATACAATTCCAAAGGAAGGCAGATGGTTCCACTAATAACCAGATCTTGGCTCTGTTTTTTCTGACCCCTAGTATCCAACAGCAAAGCCAAAATTGTCCTGCTTTGCTGACTCAGGCAATGAGAACCAATGACAGATGGCTAAGATTGTGTCCTCCTTCTGATATCTCTGGAATCCCGCTCTGTCACACACATATACTGTACATGGCCACATGTATAGCCACGAGACTACCTTATTTTTTTATTATCGGTACTGGAGATTGAACTCACGACTGCACGCTTGCAAGGCAGGGGCTTATGCCGCTGAGCTAAACCCCCAGCCCTTCCTGAGACTACTTTTAATTGTTTAGCTGAACAGAGAGAATTCTGAAAACCCCCTCCTCTGCAAAATGGTCACATGGTACATGGTAGGGAGAGTCCTTACCTGGAACAACGGTCACCTTAACTTTGTCCCCAAAGTCAATCCCCAATTTTTCAATCCCACACCAGTAACTGTCAGCATCATCTCTTCTGAGATCCCCCAAGGTTACATTGAACACGAGGTCCTTCTGGTAGTCCCTGATGGACAAACGCTCCTCCTTCACCAGCCTTTCTGACCCATCGGTTTGAATCAGCATCTTGCAGCTACTCCAGGCAGCCCCTCAACACCACCACTTCGGATTGGTCTTCCACCGTGAGCTATACCGACACTGCACAGTCAGTGAGCTCCGCTCCTGGCCCCTCGCTGTCCCTGGACCAGTGATATCTTTCTTCTCAGCAGAGAAGCCTGGAAGACACAAATCCATAAACCTGTCACCTCTCATCTCTAAGGCAGGGTCACAGCATCTTGATTAGGAAGAACTTCCAATTCCAAGTGTATTCCAAATTCAATACTGGTTTTTTTTTTTTTTGTTTTTTGTTTTTTGTTTTTTGTTTTTTTGTCTTTTTCGTTTTTATCGGTACCAGGGATCGAACTCACGACTGCCTGCTTGCAAAGCAGGCGCTTATGCCGCTGAGCTAAATCCCCAGCCCCTCAATACTGGTTTTTTAAAAAGAGAAGATTATACCTCTGCAAAACAGGCTTGCTCTCCTCCAGCATTCCACGAGGCCAAGGCCAGATGAAAAGCATAAAAAGTACAACTACAGTCCTAAAAAGGGACAAAGTATTGACGTAGCATTAAAAGCTTCTGTCATTCACGCCTCTCCCCCTCGCTATGGTCAATAAATCCACATATTTTGAGGAGTGCCCTTTTGTGGCCATGTTTACGGTTTGCTGCCTAGGAGGGAAGGAAATAGCAGAAGATCCATGCCCATGGGACAGCGATGTCCATTGACTCTTAGTACCTGTGACTCTCAGTTGACTCAGCCACATGAGATGGCATGTTGAGGCTGTCCTTGGTGGTTCTAGTGGTCTCCCGGGGCCCAGTAAACCAGCCCAGGCTGACCAGAACAACGATGCAAGATGGTCTCCATGTGCTGTGGAACCCATAGCATACAGGTTCCATTTACCCTACGGAATTGCCTTGGTGTCTTTGCCAAACAGTAAACTTGTAACTTATTCATGGATTCCTTTCTGTTCCATTGATTAACTGACTTATCCTTCTTCATGATAACCCCACACTGTCCTGATTACTATAACCTCACTGTAAGGTAACTATTATAGATAGCAGAGCAGTTTGTTCTTAAGATATAAGATTGTCTTGTTTGTTCTTTTATTTTGTCACCTTTATAGAGATTCAAGATACAGGAAAATGTTTATTTACAAGCATGATTGTAAAAAAAAAAAAAGTGACCACAAACAGGCACGCTGGTGCACACCTGAACCCCACCATCTGAAAGGGTGAGGTAGGGAGACAGAAAGTCTGAGGGCACCTGGACAACTCGGTGCCTTAGCAAGACCATAACCCAAAAGAAAACAACCTAAAGGGCTAGGGTGTAGTCATGTGAAAGCCCTAGGTTCGATCCCCAGTACCGCATCTCCCCGCAAAATGACCAGCGATGCTAGACCATAGCACCAAGGAGACTCTGGGAGGTGGTGAGGACCAGGAAAGCCTGCAGGGCAGGTCCATCACAGGCCCATCCCCTCGCCGCTCAGCCCGGGGTCCTCATGCAAGAAATGAGCTCTGTGATTTCAGATCATGTCATTGCTTTGGGGTCATCAGAAATCTAGATTTGGGGTGAATTCTTTCCATTTGTAAACACTAGGGAAAAAAACCCATAATCAAGTGCAGGGTCACACAAACCCATCTGAGAGCTGTCTCATTGCCAGAACTCAGCTCTGTGTTCCTAGGTGAGGTTCTTTCCTTTTTCTTTTTTTTTATTTTTATTTTTTTTTGTCAAGGTGTGGCATCAGAGATATGCTAGTATCTCAAGATGAATCCAGCCAATTTCTTTTTTTTCTTTTTAATTCTTCCATGAAGCATGTAAAACACAGGGCACACACACTAGTCAAGCACTCTGTAGCTGAGCTACACCCCTAGTCCATTTATACCTATTTCATGTTCTGGAATCACAACATAAATATAGCAAACAAAGCTTTGCTTCTTTAGAATCTTAAAATACTGTCTACAAAACTGACATCACATCAGCACCTGGGCTAGATCCATTTGCATTGCTTACTGCCAACTGGAGGGATAAGGAAAAGTCCTAGCCAGCTCCTTATGGGTCAGTACATGGGCACAGGGCCTGGTTTAGTGAACATGGAGATAAAGCTCTTTTTCAGGGGGAGTCATCCAGGTCTTCCTCCACCATTCCTGGCATAATGCATAATAATTATAAAGAATTTCTTTGCGTTAGATCTTTCATATCTATCACAATTATTCATCTTAAGCACACTTTCAGTACTATTTCATTTTTAGTAACCACATGTGCCAAAAGATTTTATGTGTAATTGTTTCTCTCCCTCCTTTTTCCTACACTAAACCAGTTCTGAGATAATCTGGTAAATATTACTATTTTATTTTCTAAACTGCTGATTTTTCGTATGTGTAATTTTCCTCCTCTGATTTCCTTTGGATTACTAATCTTTATCCTTTTATAATTTGCTATGTTAGAAACGATCATTCTTTCCCTTTCTAAAGTTAAAGCATTTTAATTTTTTTTTTTTTTTTTTTTTTTTTTTTTTTTTTTTTGTGGTACTGGGGATTGAACTCATGACCTCATACTTGCCAGGCAGGAGCTTATGCCACTGAGCGAAATCCCCAGCCCAATTAAAGCATTTTAAAGCAAAAGATTTACATTTATCTCCTTATAAACTTGATACGAATCCAGACACAGTGGCACACACTTGTACTCTTGCGAATCAAGAGGCTAAGGTGGAAGAGAGCAGCCTGCCAGCCAGGCACATCCTGGCTCAAGATTTTAGGAAAAAGAAAAATTTAAGGGCCGAGGATGCAGCACAGTGGCCTCTCCAGGTTGAATCTCATTATCAAAAACGAAAGAAAAACAAAAACTGACACGTAACTCACATAACACAAATTCCATTGTTTAAAAGCTCACAACTCAGTGGTTTCCAGAACATTCACAAAGTTGTAAAACAGCCAGGCACAGTGGTACACGCCTGTAATCTCAGCACTCTGGAGGCTGAGGCAGAAGGATCCTCAGGAGTTCGGGGCCAGCCGGGGCTACATAGCGAGACCTTGTCTCAAAAAACCCTCCTAGTCATGACCACCCTGTCCCTGTCCACACCACCAGTAATTTACTTTCTGCCCCTACAAATCTACCTACCCTAGAGATTTCATTTAAATAGAATCATATGATATGTGGCCTTTTGTGTCTGGCTTTTCTCACTTAGCATCATGTTTTCAAGATTCATCCATGTCATAGCACCTGTCAGTGCCTTAGCCTATTCTAGAGCTCAGTAATCATCCACTGAATGGGTGTAATTAAGTGGGTCCTGGGTTTGATTCCCAGTACTGAAAACAAAAATCTCCTTTTTAATCAAAATGGTACCCACACCTCGGTGCCTCTTTTTCTCTCCCCGCTGCCTGCTCTCAGCTACTTCAAGCTCTCAGCAATTTCTAACATTTCCTTTTGCCCCAAATGCCCAGAGTCACCTCTCCCCACATCTGGAAAATTCTCTTCCTTCCTCCAAACCTCTTCCTCCCTCTCTTCTTTCCAGAAGCTGCCTGCTCCTAAGGTAGACACAAAGATGGCATTGCAGCCCAGGTGCGCTGCAGTCCTCCGGAGCAACCACAGACCCCTAAGCAGGCAAGAATTACGCCTCAGGCTGGGTTTGTGCTGCAGGGCTCCCTATTTCTGCCTGGTCACTGAAACACTGAAGGGGGAGCAGGCGAAACACAGATGTTTGTACCACTAAGGATGCCTTCTTGCCGGAGCATGCAGCTCTGTGGCTAGGTCTTCAGGCTAAGCCCACCCACGAGTCTAAACCTGGACCCACTCACCTGAGAACCAGAAGAGAAGAAAGAACAGCTGCAGGTACATTTTCTGTCTATGTCGGCCCCCCACGTCAGATGCTGTTAGCAAGGACAGGCCACAGGCTCCCTCATCTCCAGCCCTCTGCTTTCACTCACCCCACCCAGCACTTCTTCCTTCCACTGGTGAATAACCAAAAGAGGAAGGAGGTAGAAAGGGTGAAATTTCAAAGCAGTTAGCAATGCAAAAAGGCAGAGTGATCATGACAATGCCTTTGAAAAATGCCAGTCTGTCCCACAGCCATGAAGCTTCCCTAAAAACAGAGCTCGGCAGCTTCTTCTGTCTTGTGGACATTTGTAGACATGAAGCCATTGGGACTGGACGCTACCTACCCAATCCCCTGGACCCCTGAAGGTCACAGAGAATCAAGGCTGCTGGCCAGAATGCCCTAAAGCTGGAGCTTTGAGTGTGGCCAGAGTCTCAAAGGCCCAGAAAACCAGGAGTTCTGCAGGATTGAGCCAGAAGCCAGAGGAGAGATTCCAGGCCAGAGGCCAGAATGAGGGCAGGAGGAAGGTGAGGAGCTGTCAACACCCAGAATTAAGTGAAAGGGGCTTAGAGAGTCAAGAGATGCAAGAAGACCCAGAAAAAGGAGCTTTCTCTGACAGTATACTGACACCTCTGATTGCTCTGCCCGGGCCCAGCAACCAAGATCCTGTGGTTACTGACTTGGCCGAGATGCCCCAGAGACTCACCAGCTAGACCAAGGCTTGTGACTGTGACATCTCACTCCCACAACCATCTTACAGTAACCATTTGTGGAAGGAAGGAGGCCCAGTTTTGCCGGTCCCCCGTCAGGTCCCCTGTCATTCTGATGTCATGTATCTCACTTCCCACACGAGGGTCCCAGCAAGCCCTTGAGGACAAGACACAAGGTCATGAAAATATGGGACCCTTCACATGGTTTGCAGCTGCAGCCACCTTTAGTATGTGCTGCTTACAACCTGTGACATCTTCACAAGTGAGTCCCTAGGGAGGGACACAGCTCTTCACACTTTAATTAGGAATGATTAAGGGTATAGACAGTTTGTTTGCACTGAAAAATACAACAGCCTGGGGGATCGGGAGAACATGGCGGACAGACAACAGCAACTTCTGAACGCTCTCTAAAGGCTCGGCTCAGAGGCCAGGAATGATGCGGACTAAGGAGATACGAACCAGTAGAGATATGCTCTGCTGACTCAGGAACAAACTGGGCTGAGAGAATCCAACTTGGAATACAGTCCTGGCGCTAAAATAGGAACAGAAAAATCTCGGTGTGGAGGCTCGACTCCGCGCCATTAGAAACCGCGGTTTGGATTTCCCGCCGCCGCCCGGCGGCCGGCTTCCTCCACAGCGGCTCAGCAAGGAGAGACGTGACCGCCGAGCTCTGGGAACGGGAGTCTCCGAACGGAGTCCCCACGCCATTGGAAACCGCGGTTTGGATTTCCCGCCGCCCGG